TATATACACATATACAGCCAAAAAAATTTTTCTTTGGTTCTGGTGAGAAAATGGAGGGTCTAACCCTCCCCACACTATCCAAAACAGAGTAAGAGGTGTTGGTAAATTAGCCAATGGTGGTACCTGTTTCAGTGTCATCTGTCTTGGAGGGGATTTCCCTTAACTTGGGTTAGTTTTCATGTCATTTGTTGCTGTGTCTCCAAGACTAGAAGTGAGGGGAAATCTCAGCAGCGGGGAACACAACATAACCTGAAAGGGGTTTTAACCGTTCCCTATTCTATCTATCCCAGCCAGGTCACTATCTGCAAGGAGTTTGCATTTTCTCCCTGTGCTTGCATGGGTTTTCTTCTGGGTACTCCGGTTTCCTCCCACACTCCAAAGACATGCTGGAAGGTTAATTGGCTCCTGTCTAAATTGGCCCTGTATTTATGTGACATGGGGACCTTTAGATTGCAATCCCCTTGAGGGCAGGGACTGATGTGCACTACACAGCACTTTACATAGTTGCACAATTGTCAGCACTATATAAATACCTGTAATAAATAAATCTAAAACAAAAAAAAATTCAGAGGTATGTATGTATGTATGTATATCTATCTATACACATACACACACTTTTACAGAAAGATGGAGCTGTTTTAGTGGCCATTAAAAAGAAAATAAGCAGCAGTGGCTATTGGGGGTACAGGCTTGTCATATGTTATTTTTTAACTGAGCAATAAATAGTGGTTTAGTAGTGTTTAATCTGTTGTGGCTCCTATTACATGTAGTCCAATATTAAAGGAGAACTATGGGGTTAAGGCTTTTCCCCATAGTTCTCAGGGTAACGGGAGGACACAAACTGAGACACCGCAGTATACCGCGAGCTGCTGTCACCTCCCTAAAACAGTCTGCAGACTGCATTTTGGGCCTAGTACACTTGTTCGCCCATCAGCACCATTGTATGGGAGCAGTGATGGAGCAAAACACTGGCTTCACAAAAAGTGAAATGATTTTGCATGTTGCTAGTAGTCCTTCTTCCTCCTTTTTTTTGGAATGGTGCGATCCATAAAGTGCATTTGCTTACAACAATACATTGACAGTATGACTGCCAGTGGAATGACCAGGAATGTGTCTAGGATAATTCTATTAAACAGGAGTCATAATATGTACAATGGTGACTACCAGTATTGTGATTTATGCTAAGCATCATGATGTGGGTCCCATTACTTTAAAACTTGGCCATTGTTTCTGTGAACGCATGTTTGTTTGTTTTTGTCTTACATTGATTCATTTATATTTATTTTTCCTCAGACTTCAGGCATTGCACAGAGACGCAGCTCTTTAAGTTTAGGAGGAACCGACAGTGAAGACGAACCGGTAATTCCACTTATGTTCAATCAGTGATTTTTTTAAAGGTGGTTATGTCCATTGAATTTACTACATGACTGTTGCATATAAGCTTTTACCTCCATACCATAATCTGGTTTCAGAACCCAGTGATAGGTTTCCAAATGGCCATTCCAATGTATGTTGTTTTGTGTTTTTTAGAAGATTTTTTAACTTTTTTTTTTTTTTTTTGGTTGACTTGAAAGCTTCTCATAAATGATAGCCAGTTGAGATTTGATCTTGATCCATTTTGGCAGGATTGGGTGAATAATGTGCATGGACAATAGCAGGCCATGATTCCTGGGAAAGACTTTGCCATTGGGATGTCATTTCCATTGTACAAATAAATGTACACCCTTATTAGAAATCTCTGTGCTTTCGAAGTGGAAGTAGATTGCCTATCCATTTATGTAGTACCTAGACTATGGCCCATTGGGTACTATAAGCAGGTATTTCACTCTGACAGATCATAAAAAAATAAAAAAAGTTTACCATTTTTTTTAGTCCATACTTAAATGTGTCAGTATAATTCTATAGATAATCCTGTGAACCTGTTTGCTATTAGAACAGTATGGCAGATGCATACCCTTATAATGTTATCAACCTTGTTCCTGTAAAATGTATATGAATAATACATTTGGGAATAGTAATTTAGTAATGATTTTGATGGCATGTATTCTGCTCATCAACGAGATATGATTGTACTGGCAAGCTTCTAGAAGTTCAGTTCTTTTAATAGTGGAGGGATGTTCACAAGGTATAAGATTAAGATTTTGAGGTAAGAATGATTACCAAGTACCAAGTGATATTTTGATGTAAGTTTGCTATGGTATGGGTCTGCAAGATGTTCATAGCTTGAGATTTTTTTCAGGTTTATCCATAGTTGGAAGTCATTAAGTGTTTTGAAGAAGTTTGGGAATGAGACATGGGGGTGTAGTTAAGGTTAAAAACGCAATCCGCAAAATGAATTGTCTGAGCCTGCTATTTCTACCACCTTGATGTTTTGGCTAAGCCTAATGTTTTCCACCAGGGGTTCCAGAGCTAGTATGAATAGATTAGGGAACAGCGAACTCCTTCCAGTTCAGCATTCTATTTGGTTTGGTAGGCTGTGGAGAACATACTTGTCCTGTGGAGGACATAATTGATGCATAAATTAGAGAAATAAGGCTCGGAGAGGGTGGGCCTTTGTGGCAGTGTTGTTAAGATGCTATATTGAGGAGAAGGGGGTGAGTTTCCTCAATAAAGACTTGATGTGAAGGTGTATTTGTAGGTAATTGAAATCTTCCTTCAGTGGGAAATCATGGGGGTATTTGTAAGGTTTGTCCATGAGGGACTGCAGTTGGTAAAATTGTCAACTCCTCTATCAAAATTGGACCAGGCATATCAAAACCTGGGAGAAATAAGGGGTTGTTTAGTATCCCTAATAAAAGTAAATGAGGAAAGATTGGTTTACCTGGATATTTGACAAAGTACCAGACCAAAAGAGAATAGGCTAGGAGTGGATTGATTTTTGGTGGGTGTTTTGGTGAAGATAGCCAAGGCAAGGTAGATATAAGGATTGGGTGGCATTCTTCACAAAGAGTTCCTGGGTGGCTTAATAAGAATTAAGGTTTGGTAATGCAAGTCCTCCTGAGAGTGTAATTTACATTCTGGCTGCATTTGCAGTAAATCTATAGCAGTGCTTCATAATTCACTCTGCTAAAGCCAGTCCAGTACAAAATGGATTCTAAATTTTGGCACTGAAGTTTCAGAACTGTACTTTTTTGAATAGGGGCATCAGTCTGTCACATAGAATGCAAATACTAGACGGCACTATTTTCTTGACTAACTTTTTACCAAGGTTGTGCAATATGTTATCAGGACCCCAAGTGGAGCCTTACAGTCAACCTTTGGGGCCCCAAAACTGTTAGGCCTTCTGTCCAATAATTGTAATAATGGTATATGCTGCTTGTTTCCTCTAGTTAACAAGACCTATAAATGTTGTCCTCTACAGCAGACTTTCCATGTAGTAAATGCTGAATGTGTGATTCATCAAAAGATCTTACATTTCCAGAATGTTTCTGTACTTGCCAAAAAATGTTATTTACTCTTTCGAAATGAGTGCATTGCCCTACCCCTACTACTATCTTTTAATGTGCCCATTCTAAATATCCCCCCCCCCCCCCCCCCCTTGCTCCAGTTTTGACAAGGACTTCCTTTTTCCACTTTATTTTCTTAGGGGGAAAAAAAATATTGTTTTCTTGAACTTTTAATGTCTGAGGTCATGGCAGAAATTTGAGAAACATCAGTATTTCAGAGAATGTATCGGCTAAGATTGTATTGAAACAAACAATGAAAGCAAGCTATTTAATTGTTGGTTGTAAATATGGTATATAAGCTTTGCGGGCAGAACTCTATATTTTGGAGAACGTTCAATTATAATGTTAAATGTTTAAATAATTTTGTAGAGGGGAAAGTGTTACTTTTGTTGTTAAGCCCGGTTGTGTAATTTTATATTCTTTAGGGCCATTTGTAGGCCAACGCCAAAGCCATTCTTAATCATCTCATCACTAGTTAACCTATTCATTTCCTAAAGAAGTTTCAAGGCATTCTTAGATTCATATTGGTCTGATTTTAAAACTACTAAAACTTAGCTCCAGTCAAAACCAGGGAATGGTTAGAACCTGCCAGGTTTTTATTGCTGATTGCCAATTTCCTTCATGATCATCGAGGCAGGAAGTGAGCTGAAAATCTCCAATAGGATACAGACAAAAGGTAAAGCATTTTTTTATTTTGTTTTCTCGAAGTGGGAAGACCGCTTCGAAGCTGTATCACTTGTAATTTTTTTTATAGTTTGTGTCACCACTGGGGTGAATTCAGTCACTGTTTTCCTGTAGACACTGGAGCAGGAACATCAATATCATTAAAGCTCAACCTCGGGAACACTATACATCAGTGAGTTGTAGAGGCCGATTGCTGTAAACTGACCTGCCATAATTAGATTTTCCTCATGCTCCCCCCGAATCTTCAGTATACACCACTGGTCAAAAAAGTTTTAGAACACCCCCATTTTTCCAGGTTTTTTTTTATAGAAATGTATGCAGTCTAATATCCCAATGTACTCTGAGAATAAAGCATAGAACAAATAAAAAACTAGACATCTAAAATAAATCATGGAATAGTTTTCTTTAACAAAATGTAATCAAAATTTAAAGTAGCCACCTTTTGCAGATATAACAGCCGAACACACTGGTGGCATTCTTTCTTAAACCAAATATTGTTCGGAAAGTTCTTCCCAACACTGTTGCAGAAGTTCCCACAAATGTGTTGCACTTGTAGGTTGTTTTGCTTCCACCCTTCTGTCAAGTTAAGGCATTGCAAGACTCTTGACAGCCACAGGCCACAACTAAAGCTGGAGTGCTGAGGCTGCCTACCACTTGTTTTTAGAATAAAGCTGGCCATTCACCTATAGATTTTCTATACTCTGTGTGAAGGCATGACCAAGTTCTTAAATTTTACATACATTTTATGTTTATCCCACTGGCTGTCCAAAATACATGAACAATCTGATTGGATGCAGGCATTGTTCAGGTGTTTTGACAGCCAGCGGGGCTGACTAGCAAGATACTGAAGCTTGGCCCAGGAGGAGATTCCTCCACCCACACAGTTTCGCTTAGATGGAGGATTCTGTTGCACTTTTTCCATCTGACCATAGAAAATCTTCAGAAAATCTATAGTTGTATGGCCAGCTTAACTCCACAGCATCCTGGGAACCCCCCAAACCCAGAATGTATGCAGAATGTAAAATTTAAGAACCTGGTCATGCCTCCACACAGAGTAATGCAGGCAGGGTTGAATTCCCAACAAGGCCATCTGGCTCAGTTTTAATGTCAAGTCCAAATTGTTTAAAACCCTGCATGGTGTCATGAACACTGTGATTAAAGATGCTAATAATTATGTGTCATCAAGGTTTTTTGGCAATTTCATGAATACAGTTTAATGATAATCGTCACGATATGTGAATTTCCAAGACGTTTCTACTGTTTTTCTTCAGGGAGGAATGAAAGCAATGCTAATGTTTGATAGGATGTAATGAAACATTCTCATGGTGGGGGTCATGTAAACCCCAAAATGCTGAGAGAGCTTTTCATGTCTGTAAACTATGGAAATCCTGAGACTTGTGAGCATCTGCAGGCCAGACTATGGAGTTGATCTATTTTTACGTTGCTTTCAGGTCTATGCATTCCTTTTGCGTTTCAGCTGCCTTCTTTGACTCATTTGTAATATGCTATAAATGATTGGTCCTTAGACTTAGAGGAGCTCATGTATATAAGTGATACATTTTCCAGTTGGACTTTCAGTCTGCAGGGTGCCTGCTGATAGATGACAGTAATGATGTGTCACATGACACTTCATTCATGTTGGTTGCTGTGTTCTGAGCTATCCTCTTAGCCATGTATGAAGTGTTGAGTGACATTTAATAAGCCTGCTGATGTTGAAGAGCCCTTTCCCTTTCTATTGAGAAGCCATGGTGGCTGTAGAAAGCTGCATCACTAATTATCCATGTGGGCCAGAAAAAGTAGCGGTCTCTCCAACCAACAAAAGGTGCCCCAGAGGTTATAGGCTTTCAAAGAATTGGAGTTTTTCTATTGGCATATACAAGTCCATGAGTGAGTTTACAATCTAATGCCCCTAGCACACACATACTACCATAGTCTAGGAGGGGGTCAGTTAACTTACCAATATTTTTTTAACATGGGACAAAGCCAGAGGACCAAAGGTAAACCTGAACAAGTACAGTTAGAACTTGCAAACCTCACACAGAATGTGCTCCTGGTGAGATTTGACTCTCCAAAGCCTGAGCTTCAAGTTGAATGCTAATCACTTAATGTTGCAGATACGGCTTTTTTTTTTTTTTTTAGGGAGGGTGAAGCGCAGTGAAAAGCCTAGAGACACAAGTGACATGACCTCAGTACTCGTGCAGTTTTAAAATTGAAACCTAACTACACTCCTTTTTCCCTTAATGTGTTCTTCCTCCTCCAGAGAGTAATTAAATGTGAAGAAAAAAAAAATGAAGACTCGCTGCATTGGTCTGCTAATCCCTTGCTCATCAGTTTTACGCAGATAGTTGTAAATGTTCCTTAACATCTGTCACTACTGCTATGCCTGTTAGATCTAAGGGTCCTGTTATCTTGATGATTTAGTTTGACGTACTGCAGTGTCACCATCACTGCTCCCAATAACTTTGTGAAGCCGCAGTGCACTTACTGTAGAAGGCACTGCAGGCTAGAGTAGTCACTGATGAGTCCACCAGCCTCCATTCTGGCCCTTTTTGGTGTGTGTGTGTGTGTGTGTGTGTCTGCCTCAAATAATTTCCATAACTTTCTGTCCAGGTGGCAAAACAGACACCGAACGTAATAAAAATTTGTCAAGGGTTCTAGCCTTCTCCTACATTGCTTAAAAAATCAATTTAGTTTTGCTCACTTCCTGTCTAGCAAAACATTTTCAACAGGACGTGATGGGAGATGTTGCCAAGTGAGCGCTATATGGCAGTACTTTATCCAAAAAAGTTGACATGCACTTTTGATTTATTTTATTTCCTGCGTACTGTGTAAGTGAGATCTCTCCAATAGTTCCTCACCCATATTCTCAGATCCCATAGTTTCTTGGATATTTAATTGGCTTCATGGAGAATGCAGGTGCAGTATTAAGGCTCCTGAAGCTGCTGTAGGATGAATGAGACTGGCTGCTGGGGTGAAGTGCGGACAGGACTTTCAAGGGAAACCTGCATTTGTTGCAATAGTCTACATGCTAATGCAATCCCAACACAGGTTCAAATCCTTCGATACCCTATCAAAAACATAAAAATGTAAATAACATAATTACATTTCTAAATGCATTTGCAGGCCTCATCAGCAGAAGTGTGCCATACTGCTTAAAGCCCATATTCAGTCCTCCCAGGAGGAATCCATAGAGAGTAATGGCTCACACCCAGTCCCAACCACCTTCCAGTCATTGTTTTTACCAATTTGGAAGTTGGCAATGTTTACAACTTCCATCACTCCAATTAGGTTGATTTAGTAAGAAGATAGCGTTGTCTGCATTTGAGGTCAATCGTTTGATGTAAAAATTTGATCAGAGGGATGAGGGGGTGGTTGCTGGCTTTTGGGTACAACTGCAGTTACTTTTTAAAGCTTCCTTTTGAGATCCAGTCTCGGTAGTGCTAAATACAGATCTCAATGGGTACAGTGTAGGTAGTTTAAAGCAGGCGTTTAGAAAGCTTCAGCAGTACAATCTTCTGCAGCAGTTCAAGACGTATAATGTATGTTTATGTACACCACTAAAATGTATTGAAGTCTCCATCTATTGTTGGTTTTTATTGCCGAGTGACAGAAACCCATTCACAGTATATATTAAAGGTCTATTTTAGTTTTATGGTTTAGGAAGAGTGTAACTAAAGTTACCAGTTACAGTGCCAACTTTAGTGTCTCTGTGTTTTGGTCTGTCTATAAAGCATGGTTGTAATTACAGATGGATAAAATATATAGCATAGCTAATAATAAAACCTATCCTCTGGTGTAATTTGTGGGTCTAGGTGGTTTTTATTTAGCAATTTCTTGGCCAAGCCTTGGCATTTCCTTTTTATAAAGTTAAGCATAATAAGTGGATGTCCAGCTTGTGATTAAACCCCATTTAGATACTGTTAGAACAGATGGTGCTTACTGTGTACGTCTTGAGGATAACTCGGGCAAGAAGAAAGATTAATGGCACGGCAAGATCTCAGCACAAATGCTAAACATCAATGCCAGATGTTCTATGCAGATTATGTCTATTCTTTCAAAATGTAAAGTACTAATATTAACTTTTTATGTTCTGTTCACTTCTTGACAAGTAATCATGTGGCCATGTTCTAAGTCACTGCTTGGGCTGTCGTATGTTTTCCCTTTGTAATGTTCTCCTTTTGTCTGTCTCCACAAACGTCGCATCTGGTTTTATTAGGAAAGGGGCGGGGTACCAATGTGGAGATTAACACAGAAAAGAACATTCTTTTGCTTGGACAGGCCCTACCACAATCATGTGTTCTTGGCAGTGAGGCGACTTAACCCCCAAAATGGCAAAATGGGCTAATCCCTAAATGAAAGCCATCATGAAAGAAGCATGGAGGCTGCCATTGCTTGCCTCCTATTGAAAATGCTAGTTGCCTGGCTGTTGGCCCCTTTTTGTTTCAAAAAGGAAAAGGTAGTGTATGCTTGGGAAGGGATCAGCCTGGAAGGCAATCCATGAGGCGATGAAAATGTCATATTATGTAGCATACACTATTTATTACATATGATAATATGACTTGGGGTAGTCAAACGCATTCTGGAAAGTTTAAATAAATGTTTGGTAATGTTTCATATGTCTCTTACATATGCCAGTTGTGGTTCTGACTTCGTTTTTGTAGGTGATATTATACTTTAAAGGATAGAAATCAGAACTTGTTCCGCTGTCTTTACAGGAGTCTTGTGAAACGTCTTCTTGCCCCATCAGTCCACTGAATTCCAGTGTCCGTTTGACGTCCAACTCTCCAGGCAGCCACTATCTAGTAGATTTCACAGCTCCATTAGGTTCTGTGGCCTGTCTGGATAATTCTGCAGCAAAGCACAAGATTGCTGTCAAGCCAAAGAAGAGGAGAGGACCAGCCATGATTGTAAATAGAATAAAGGTATTTTTATTTAGTGTTTGTATGTCATGGTATAAAGTCCATTCTGCGCTTCTACTTTTGAAACCATTTTGATCCATTTGGGTCTGTGGGTACAAGGGTTTACGGAGGCATCATTAAATCCAAATAATATATAAAATCCATTATCGTTAATTACAAAATGCAAATCACGTATTGGAGGACTTGCATGATTGTTATGTTAAGATCAAATTAGAGGTTTGTTGTGTTTTTTTGTTTTTTTTTCCTTTTGCGGTCATGTGGGTCCTGCCAGTCCCTACAACAGTGAAATCTCCCACATGTACACTTCAATGCATTACATGCAAGAACAGCATCAGTACTACAAGTACTATGGTGCTGCCACAACAATGCTTACCACAATATTAGTGCTATTGTAAATTGTGTTCTCTGTGTGTGATCTTTCTGTGTTTAGTATGTGGTGTTTGATCCCAGATTTCATGTTTCTGCTCGGCCTGTGTGTGCAGTCTTGCATGTGTATGCATGACTTTGACTATGTGCGAGTATCAGAGGCGGCTCTAGACTTTGTGAGGCCTTAGGCGAAACTCAAACATGAGGCCCCCACCTACACCCATATTGAAAGACAATGCAAACCATAATTAAAAATGAACTGTATACATTGCATATTTGTAAGATGAGCGTTTAATCCCAGCAGCCAGGAATTTACAGCTTATAGAGCTAGAATCTTATTTCGGTCTCAATCTAATTCTACAAACAACTATACGCAAAACCATAACCCTAAGGAAGTAACATGCAGAGGTCAGATCTAAGGAACGTGCAGAGTGCAGAGGTCAGATCTAAGGAACGCGCAGGGGTCAGATCTAAGGAACGCGCAGGGGTCAGATCTAAGGAACGCGCAGGGGTCAGATCTAAGGAACGCGCAGGGGTCAGATCTAAGGAACGCGCAGGGGTCAGATGTAAGGAACGCGCAGGGGTCAGATGTAAGGAACGCGCAGGGGTCAGATGTAAGGAACGCGCAGGGGTCAGATGTAAGGAACGCGCAGGGGTCAGATGTAAGGAACGCGCAGGGGTCAGATGTAAGGAACGCGCAGGGGTCAGATGTAAGGAACGCGCAGGGGTCAGATGTAAGGAACGCGCAGGGGTCAGATGTAAGGAACGCGCAGGGGTCAGATGTAAGGAACGCGCAGGGGTCAGATGTAAGGAACGCGCAGGGGTCAGTGGTAAGGAACGCGCAGGGGTCAGATGTAAGGAACGCGCAGGGTGCAGTGGTCAGATGTAAGGAACGCACAGTTCAGTAGTAAACACAATAAGAAGGATCTACTCACTGGTATTGGGCAGCTGGATTTTTTACATAGGGGGTTATTCACAAAGCTGCCGAAGGATCTAGCCATAGCTTCGGCTGATCCTTCGGCTAGCTTCGGCACCAGGACCCCTTCGGTTCAGTAGAACCAAAGGGCTGCTGTACAGGCTATTCACTATAGCCCGTCCTGCTCCCGAAGTTGCCTCGGCATATGCCTCGGCTTGCCTGAGCCGAGGTGAAAGCCGAAGCTGGCCGGGCGACAGCCTGCTACTGACAGCTGGGCGGTGCCAGCTGTGATCTCACGGCTGGCTTCGGCCACTTGCAGAGACAGATCAGCGTCCCCTGGTTACCAGGGACGCTGATCTGTCATTAAATCCCAACTCTCCCAGACACTCCAGGAGTCTCCCGCTATTAGATAGCGCCGCCTGGCCAAGAAACACTTTCTCTTTCTGCTCTATTGTTCTTTTTTTTTTTTTTTTTTACTCACAAGCAGAGGGGACCTGAAGTTCTCCAGGTCCCCTTCTAGTGATTGACAGCAGCAGTGGACGGGTGCAATAGCTAGTTTGCTATTGGCTATTGCAAAGTGAAATAGCCAATAGGAATGTAGCTATGCATTCCTATGCTGATTTTTTTTTTTGTTTTTTCTGACTGCCGGCGGCTCCGATGTCAGGAAAAAAAGAGAAGACAATAGAGCAGAAAGGTTTACTCTGCTCGATCGAGCAGAGTAAACCTTTCCAGGAGAAAGTGTTTCCAGGAGAGTGCATGCAGCATGATTGCAGAGGATCGGAATGCATGCACTAATGTGTCACATGTTTGGGTGTCGGAGATCGCACTGTGGGCGGGGGGCGTGGCTACAGTGCCATTGAGTTCAATGCACCACCACGTCCCAAAACAAAGTGAGCCGGCCGGGTTGCGTTCCAGTGCATTCCAGAGGCCGAACGCACTAACTGTGAATTTCTTCTTTCACTGACCTGAACTCCATGCAGGCACTGCTCCTGATCGAGGGGTCAACTCCCGGTGTCCCACCGCCGGCATCTGCATCCTCCTTGCCCTCCTCCGATGTCACCGCTGGCTGCTGCAGGAGCGGAAGTCTATACATCTTCACAATACATCGGGCGGGCTCTCCTCTGCAGGAAAAGATGAAGGGAAGTGGCAGAAGTAGTTCCGCCAGTACTCGAGTGATATGCCGCGTCTGAAGTCCCGCCGCGCAGCTTCTCCCTCTCTCTTCAGTGACAGATCCAGGAAGGGGGAGGGGGGTTGCGGTGGCTGCGGGGGAATTGCCGGCGATCATTCTCCCCGTGAGGAAATGGCTGCTCTCTCCCAGCCCAGGGGCGGACTGACCAGAGGCAGGTTAGTTGAAGCTGCAGAGGTGAGCTAGGCGGCCGCGAGGCCCTCGTGAGCGCGAGGCCTAAGGCGACCGCCTAACTCGCCTAATTAGAGAGCAGCCTCTGGCGAGTATATACTCATGCTTTTGTTTGCTGCAACACTGCAATAATTACAACACATGCACACTGGAAATGTACTAGATTTTCCTTTTCCGAACACCTTTTGGCTGCTTGTTTAGAAGGCTGTAGATTTTAGACTGAATATAGTTTGCAACAAGATTCTGTTTTCTTTTTATATATTTATTTCCTGCTTCTCTATAGGATGGTGCTGGCATTACCAAGGATTTGAACCAAAAAGAAAAGTCTGAAAACAAAGTAAATATCACAAAGGTTCTAAAGGAATGATTGGCTTTTTTTTTTATAAGTGGGTATTTATCTACCACCAGAAATCTTTTGTAGTTTTGGCACTATTTTAAAGAGGAAGTTCACTTACACCTTTAATTTTTGGACTGGTGGCCCTGAGTGGAGATTCTCCTATTTAGACCTCAACCAGAGCAGCTCCCCTAGTCCATCACTGTTGCATAGCTATCTGCTCCCTGTTTTTTACATCCCTCTCTGCCCTTACGATCTAGGGGTCCCAATTTCACATGCATGCATACAAGGGCCAATTTAGACAGGAGTCAATTAACCTACCAGCATGTCTTTGGAGTGTGCTAGGAAACAGGAGTGCCTGGAAACCCATGCAAGTACAGTGAGAACATGCAAACTCCATGCAGATAGTGATCTGTAAGGCAGAAGTGCTAACCACTAAGCCACTGTGCTGCCTGTTTATCTTACCTTTTTTGTAAGTCTATAGGTAAAGTTGGGTATACACGGATAGATTCTGATTGTTTTAGCTTTCAGGCTGAATGGAAAAAAAAATCTAACAGATTACTTTATCCATTCCTTTGGGTTGTTTTCTTTTTTTTAAATGGAATGCATGTAATCCTATCCCATGTGTCCCTTGAAGCTGCAGCGGATTCCAACAATTATGTCTGGATCCGCCCAGCTGCGTGAATGACAGCTGGCTCTGTCTATATAGAGGCAGAGCCAGCTGTACCCGCCCCCTCCCCTGTCCGTTCCGCCAGTCAGCGCTGGCGGAGCGGGGAGGGGGGAATCCAGCCCCTCCCCTGTCACGGCAAAGAGCCGTGACGGGATCGAGAGGTGAGCGAACGCCGGTATGTGTTCGCTCACCTCCCGATCTACTGAGCCGATCTGTGACAGTTTAATTGTCACAGGTCGGCTAGAACTATGAGGTGAGTGAAAAGCACTCGCCTCATAGTTCTCCTTTTTAAGATAATAAATCCCAATTGGTTCATCAACTCCAAGTCTGATTTTTTGGGGGGTTTTTTTTCTGTCTAGTTTTTAAATCCTAAATTATAAATCACCTTCCATAAACTGCTAGGTATTGCTTCAAAAGTTTTAAACTTGGCAGGATGTCCTGAAAGGTGGTTCAAACCACTACAATAACTTTCCTTCTAAAGAAAGACTAATGGCCTTCATAAGATGCATGATGTGGCAATTTGCAAACCACAATTACCCATAGCGAACAATCAAAATTTAGGGTTCTGTAGCGGATAAGCAACCTACAAGGGTTTCTGTCCCTTTCTCACTCTATATTGAATTTTTTTTTTTTACATTCTTGCTGCATACCTGTTGGAGAGATTTTTCCACACTAGTACTTGTCACTGGGACAGTAAGAGAAGGGAGATCTCTCCAAGAGAACACAGATGGCAGCTAAAACTTGATCAAGGTTCTAACCCTTTATTTACAATATCCAAATGTTCGATCGAGTTTCACTTTATTTTTTATTGCATTATTTGTGAAGAAGCAGTTTAAATATTAATTATGTATGTTGTTAAAGGTTGTGCATGAGCATGAAGTCCGTATTCCTCACTCAGGCGAAAGCTCTGCAGAGCAAGAAGCACCAAATGAACAAGCCAAATGCATGGAAGGTAACTGAAGCAATTGTCACTAACTTACTGCTACAGAACAAATCTACAACTTTACATATATCGGCCAACTAATATAGACATTGGTTTTGTTTTACTTAACACATTGTACCTTTTTATATTTTTATGTTCTATAGTGAAAAAAGTGAGTGACCGTCTGGAAGACACTTTAATGTCTGTTTTTATTTCTACATTTTTAAGTAGGCATGCCTGCAAGGGGAATCAAACATTCATGTCTTTTCTATAGTCTCAACAGTGAATGACTGACTGTAGTGCTGCCAAATGACGAATATCCTAAAAATGAGAGACAGACAACAGCCAGCTTTTTGAAATCACCTGCAGGTGTCAAAATTTAAGAACATGTACTTCCCTTTTTAGAAGAGTGTTTAAATGCTCAACTGGTTCTGTTTTGACAACTTTCAAGCATTAGATAGTGAGTGATAAACTTCTTCTGAAATTAATGTACATAAGGTATATTTTCAGCTTGATGCCAGATCTTATCTCTATTACTTTGCTTCAGTTGATATTCCAGAATGTATTGACATGGTTAAAGCTGACCCCCCTCCCTCCATATCTGTATTTTTGGGAAATTTTCTGACTCACAGGTTATTCTACCTTTTTGCCACTGTGGTGCTGGATGGTAATTCAGACTGTAGTGCTAAGCTGTGAGCCCAGGGCTACGTGATGACATGCTACCAAGAGGGTGTGTCCATGATTCCCTGGGCCTATAGTTAATGGGATGAATGACTATGAACAACAAAGCTGAAAGAGGACAAGGCTGGGACATGGAGAGGTGGGCCTTTTTGATTTTAATTTTATGGACTTTCTTAAAACCCAATTCCAGTCCAAAGGTGAAACCGTTAAGAGAATCATAGTAAAATGCATTGTTTACTCTGGCTGTAAAGGTTCTTTTGTAATTTCTGTTTGAAATTATGCATTCTATTTTTATTAAATTTAGATGTGGTACAAGCGACTGAGATTGACACAACCATGTCTCTGGTTTCACAAGAGGATTTATCAGTTGAAAAGACCCAGACTTATGAGACCTCTTTTACTGGAAAACAGATAATGGCACTTCCGGCTGAAACTGATGAAAGTGATGTGGATTCCCATGTAGGTTGTTTAATTATGGAAGATCAGGTAAACTGCAATGAGGAGGACACTGAACTAGGAAGAGAACATACAGAAATGCCACACATAAGCCAGTCTGCTCCTGTGCATGAGCTGAATGAGATTAACACAGTAGAAACACGTCCCTTAGAAGTTATTGACGATGAAAAATATAATATATTTGAAGATCCTCTAAGAATCCAAGAGGACACATCAGTGATTGAAACAGGTGAATCTGTATTCAATGACAAAGATCAAGAACATAAAGAGTATGAAAAAGTGTTACCTAATTTAACAAACCTACAGAAAGACTTGCCAGAAGTAACTGCAAGTACTTCAGATACAAATGTGAAATCAACGCCACGTGATCCCAGAGTGGAAACTGAATTGGACACTTCTATCATAAAGTTTGATGAACTTGTTAGTAATGTAGCTTCAGAATGTGTGCTAATAGGAGAAAGCACTGATGATGAAAATATTTTTACTGCAGAAACATTACAAGACTCAAGTAAAAATGCTACGACTGATCAACTTAGAATAATTGATACACCGGCAACGGAAAAAGGAGAGACTTTTGATCTCAGGATAATTGAAAGCCCTAAGAATATATATTTCGATGATGGCAGTACTACATGTGCAATAGATTCCATAAACTTGGCTAGTGGAGCAAATGGCAATGATAGTCAGTGTAGGAAAGAATCTGCAACAGAAATAAGCAAAACAATCAAACCAACAGATGTTGACAGCAAGCTTAGAACAGCCAACAAGCCAGTTAGGTTTACTGTGGCTCCTGCATGGCAAAGATCACTCTCAGTTGGGTCTGGTGTCAAAGATACAACCTACTCCAAGAATAAGATATCTAGTGCTATGAAGTCTGAATCATTTGATGGGTCTGAGGATCCTGTGATGGACATAAATCAGGAGGACTCTAGGAAAGGTGAAAAGAACAATGAAATGGTTACAACAAACAAAGAAGATTCAGGTGTTGCTTTTGGTGTCCGGTTACGAAGGGCCTCATCTTCTTCTAGGAAATACAGTGAGGAATACCCTGAAGAGCAATCCAAGCTATATCCATCCCCTGTTGAATCTGGGTCAATGGTTCCCACTCGAAATGTTCAAACGCCTACAAAAACACCACCGCTTCAGTTAGAATTCACAAAAGTTTCGAAACCATCACATGCAGGTGAAGACAAATCTCAAAAGAAAAAAAAGGCAGAAGATCTTTCTCCACAAGAAAACTCAGGTATTCGCCAGTCGTTTAGGTTGTAATCTAATGTAAAATTTATTTGCAAATGTTATCGTGTTTAGTTATTTGTAAAAGAGCCAAGTTGCTAATACAACCATTGTAGAAGCCAATCAGATAACGTACAGGCATTTTTGCAAAAGTCTGAAGATAAACTTGCTGATTTATCTTCAATGGTTTCTACCAAAGTATCAAGCAGCAGAGGGTTTTTGTTTTTTGGTACATTTCAGTTTTTGGACCTTTTTGGCTATCTATGACATAATGTTTGGGTTGTAATACAATGTATGCAGACCTATATTCGGCTGTTTTTTTTTGTTTGAAGCATTTACTGAAATGCAAAAAGTCAGCCTTAGAGTGACATTAAAGTCAAAAATATTTTTCCCTCCCCCCAATGTTAAATAAAGCGAAGACGGGGAAGTTTAAACCGCGTTTAAAGCATTTTTTTTTGTTTTAAAAAAAAGTTTTTACATACATATACTTTTTGCTAGCAGTAGATATATGCAAAAAAAAGAGGGTTTAATAACCCTTTAAGGATTGGGTCACGGGACCTAGACAAAAGTCACTTTTTTGGCTTCTTTTAATGGTGTATTGTACAACATCAGTGTATAGAAGGCAGGATCAACTGGTGTTGGTTGGGCTACATTGGCCCTCAGCGGTTTAACAGTTTTGAATTGAAACAAAGTCCAACTGTTCTCCAGCTTATAAATTCCTATTAATGTTGCAGCTTAAAGGAGAACTATGAGATGAGTGATTTCCACTCACCTCATAGTTCTAGCCGACCTGTGACAATGAGACTGTCACAGGTCGGCTCAGTAGATCGGGAGGTGAGCGAACGCATACCAGGTTCGCTCACCTTCCGATCCTGTCATGGCTCTCTGCCGTGACAGGGGGAGGGGCTGGATTCCCCTCTCCCCGCTCCGATCTGCCAGCGCTGACTGGCGGAACGGACGGGGGAGGGGGCGGGTACAGCTGGCTCTGCCTCTAGATAGGCAGAGCCAGCTGTCACTCACGCAGCTGGGCGGATCCCGTCATCTACGTTGGGATCCGCTCCGGCTGCCGCGTCTCAGTATACCGCTAGCTGTAGCTCGCAGTATACTGAGCTTAGGGTAACGGGAGGACGCTAGTTTGTGTCCTCCCGTTACCCTAACGAGAACTATGGGGAAAAACACTGACCCCATAGTTCTCCTTTTTAATACTGCAATAATAGTTTTGGAGCTCCCTCTCTGGGATAAATGCGATTTGCAGTTGTCACTCTTATGTTGAGTACGGAAGTGCTATAATTGTTCTGGAATTAAGTAGGTGTGGCCCACAGTAGACATAATGTGGCCCTTTGAAAATTAAAGTAGGTGTGGCCCACTGTCTTTGAATATGACGTGCCTGGTATATGTTAGCTGAAATGACAAATCAGAAATGTTATGTTGCACTATTCTAAATGCTCCAACATTCACGTAAAGTAAAAACTTCAAAATAAATATATTTTTGCATATCTAATTTTATATATATATTGTCCAGAAAAGATTTCAACTAGTCCACTTCTACAGATAGAGGCTACTGTTCCCCACAGGTAATTGTAACAAAGACAGTATGACCGTCAACACCAATTTGGTTGCTTCGGCGATATAGGTAGCATCACCTCATTCAACAACCATTTAGTATCAGAATTGGCTGATTTCAGATACGGATTTAGACTTCAAGTATATCTAAAGCCAACACCTTTTTTTTTTTTTTGGTTTTGAGTAGAGAATGGTTAAAGAAAAACTCTGGGAAAACACTTATCCCTTGCAGTGGGGCTACCCCATACTGCAATGGTTAACTGCTTGTTTTCATCTATGGACCAAAATAAAAACAGCTGTACCCACCCGAAACTCGAAGTTGGCCGGCTGTCACAGTGCTCCCTCCAGCGTCTCGTCTCCTACACTGCAGCTATGGTATGTCCCTTGTCTGTGTATTGGATGTGATGACTCGAGGATCCTTAGACCGCTGCAGCAAAGGGGGAGAGAGGCTGGAAGGACTAGTAGCTTTTCCCTCACTTCCTATCTCCTTAGACACAACAGGAAGTGAGAGGCAATCTTTCCAAAGTGAGGGGCAATCCTCTCAGACAGCTGTCACCACTGGTAAATTTTTCCACACTATTTTTGCACTAGTGGCCATTTTCGGATTCCCATTAACTACTGTGCAGGTGACTATGCACACTAGGACAAATAGGGCGAATCTTCCCATTGGGGGAACTAACAGTAATAAAAGCCTGATAGGGGTTCTAACACTTCCATGTTATCCAAATCGTTAAAAAAATGTAACAGAAAAGTTGAGGGCTGTATAGTAGTATACCTAGTCACTTGAGGGCTCTAAATGACTTGTAGTAGTAAAGCCTCAGTTTTTCTTCTTCAGATACATTCTACATTCTACTAGCCTTATTATTCGCTAGCCAATTAATGATTCTTTCCTAGAATGCTAATAAAAACGTACCTTTACTTCATGTAATTGGTGACGCCTCCAGTGTCCGCTGTGCAGCTTCCTGTTGGGGAGCGTGCACTGTGACTGCATGTCCAATCATACTTTTTGCCATTGCGCATATGTGCGCCAGCACCACTGTCACCTCATTGCTATTCCTCTAGGCTCCCTGTGCATGTACGGGCAAGGCAGCAGCGGCAGGTATACCGGGTAAGCGTGGCTTGGAGGGGACTCCATAGGAGCAAGGAGCCACCCTGACAACAGAAATCCAGGCCAGAGATTGTTCATGCTAGTGAAATGAGACAGAAATGAAGATGCTTCATAAAAAGCAGTACACAATGCAAGTCCGGTCTTCAGCATCTCAATTAGCAAAAAATAAAATGGGGTTTAATATCACTTTAATAAACCTTTTGTACATAGTGAAAGTTTAAACCTTTTATAGGAGAAGTTGCCATAATTATTTATTAAATTAACATTTCACCCACAGAACCGTCATGGATCACAATGGCAAAGCTGAGGCAGAAAGGATTTCAGGTGCATCCTCTTGCTAGAGAGCACAATGCTACAGCAGAAAGTGATAAAAACAAGGTATTCTATTGTTCTTAACAAGAATAACGAATGGCTGGCTGGAATGTCTTTGCATTATGTGTAATTTGGAGCTTCTTGTGCTGAATCTGCTGGGTATACACAGAATTGGGGTGAGAATGCAGAAGAAAGGGGGTCAATTCCAGGGCTTAGTTTAGAGGCTAGGCAATGTTTGACCTACTGTAGAAGATTGATTTGATAAGGTGAGGGTTGGATGTGGCCACATGTTAAGGGCTTGTTTTGGAAGTGAAGTGTTATATATTTATACTGTTTGAATGTAAAAATATACCCGCTTATACATAACATTACCTCCTTGCAATACCATTTACAACTGAGCCGGGATTTGGAGAAGCATCAGAAACAGCTGTTGCAAGTTTGTTGTGCTGACCAGGGACAATGCTGATGGGAGGAGTAAGCAGAGTGAGGGAGAGATGAACTTCTCAATCTGTTGCTTCTCCTTCCATTGTCACAGGCTTGGGGTGGGACAAGACCTGTAACTGTTGGTGAACTGTAGCAGAGAAAAATAAGGTACTCTGCCAATGCCAGACAGCACTGTGCTGTCTGGAGAAGCTGTGGAAGTATCAAGACTAGATCCTTTGGCAGGTAAAGCAGCTCCAATATACAGGTGAAACTCGAATAATTAGAATATCGTGCAAAGTTCATTTATTTCACTAATGCAACTTAAAAGGTGAAACTAATATATGAGATAGACTCATTACATGCAAAGCAAGATAATTCAAGCCGTGATTTGTCATAATTGTGGTGATTATGGCTTACAGCTCATGAAAACCCCAAATCCACAACCTCAAAAAATTAGATTATTACATGCAATCAATAAAACAAGGATTGTACATAGAAAAATATCGGACCTCTGAAAAGTACAAGCATGCATATGTACTCAGTACTTGGTTTGGGCCCCTTTTGCAGCACTTACTGCAATTACTTTTGCACGATATTCTAATTATTCGAGTTTCACCTGTAGTTATCAAAACTGGAGCAGACAGAATCTGGAGCAGTTGGTCATGGCAACCAATTAGCATTTACCTTTTTCATTTTTAACCTTAACTGAACAAACTGAAGAGAAGCTTATTGGTTGACATGGCCAACTGCTCCAGATTCTTCTGCTGTAGTTTTGATAAATTCCCTCATGTATGTATTTCTTGTATTTAGCGGTTTGTCTAGAGATCAACTTTAAGGCAGAAGATTGTAAATAAGTTTAATTTATTACATAATTTGAAAATAAATAAAATTAAAACATGATTAGTCTATTCCACATGTAATATAGGTGTCACCTCAAGTCTACAATTATTTTTATAGGACATAATAGATGACTCATTCAGATGAACCCGACATGTTTCGCCCTAGTGGGCTTCCTCAGGGGAAATTATATATCCTAAATGAGAGGGAACCCATGTAGAGCAAATTAGGGACTACTTTTTTATATAAGACAGACACACAAATAAATTGTTATAGCCATAGATATTAGTAGGCTTACATGGAAGAGTCCAACAGGACCATCAAGTCGACACCACTACATAAAGATGAAGGGGGCCAAGTGTATCGAGTATGTTTTCCCTCCATTCAAATAGAAGTAGTCATGCATGGGAAGGCAAAAGATTATTCTACTATATTTTGCTCCACTTCTCCCGCTCAATCAACATGCTAATAACATTTTGAAATTAAAACCTTCCCATTGTCATTGCATACCTTATTTTATACACATTGATGTCATCACTTGGTCTCTGGGCAATGCAGGCAGAACATGGCTGCTGGAAAAGGCCAGCAGAGTTCTGTACATAACTTTCAGAATATATCACAGCACCGTGCCTCAGTACTTCTCTCAGCCTGTCCAAATACAAGCAGTGGACTAACTCTTGGAGGAAGTTACCAAATATTAAAATGCCTTTATGGGTGGATATCAGTCTTAGGGAATAGGTGTTCCTAGGCAGGCTTAATTTTCCTTGTAGATTTCTCAAAGTAGCCCACATGTGATGTTAAGCCTCTGACTGAAACAACTGAAATCCAATGAGTGAATGGAGCTGGTCAGGGGGCAGTAGGGCAGGGAGAAAAGATTGGGATGATGCTGGATGTCTCTGCTTCTAGTGCACAATATGAGACGCTCAGTGTGAGTGAAATCAGAGTAACAGTTGTACAGGCTCCCTACCTGTACTGGAATTGCTTAAAGGAGAACTATGGGGTTAAGGCTTTTCCCCATAGTTCTCCTTAGGGTAACGGGAGGACATAAACTAGCGTCCTCCCGTCACCCTAGGCTCAGTATACCGCGCGCTGTAGGTCGCGGTATACTGAGACGCCGCAGTATACCGCGAGCTGCTCGCAGAATACTGAGATGCTGAAGCGGATCCCGACAATTGTGCCGGGATCCGCCCAGCTGCCTCTGCCTATCTAGAGGCAGAGCCAGCTGTACCCGCCCCTCCCCCGTCCGTTCCGCCAGTCAGCGCTGGCGGATTGGGGAGGGGGGAATCCAGCCCTTCCCCGTCACGGTAGAGAGCCGTGACAGGATCGAGAGGTGAGCGAACGCCGGTATGTGTTCGCTCACCTCCCGATCTACTGAGCCGAACTGTGACAGTCTCATTGTCACAGGTCGGCTAGAACTATGAGGTGAGTGAAAAGCACTCACCTCGTAGTTCTCCTTTTAAAGACTCTCTGGCGCTCAACGTTTAAGTTTTAGTAGTGCTTAAATGTAGTAAACAAAATACTGGCCATCTACATTATTTATACTACATCTCGGTGTGGAAAGCCTTTCTGCTGAAAACTATCTGGCCCTAAAAAGGAATGTAATGATTATAGTTGGTAAACTGCATGGTAAATACTGAATCCCTTTAACACAAAAAGGGGGGTAAGGGCTAGTTCGCACCAGCCCCAGTGCGTTCCGGCCTGATTCTGCATGCACTATTTTTTCTCAGCGCACCGGACTGGAACGCAGACATTGATGTGCCACGCGTTCCGGTGCGGCCGATCACACTGTAGCCAGAGGGTGTGGCTGCGGTGCCATTGACCACAATGCACCGCCAAAACCCCTCCCGCCCCAAAACAAACTGAAGCTGGCAATCCTGTGTTCCAGAATCGGGCTGGAACACACTGGGGCTGGTGGGAACTAGCCCTTGCAGTACCTTTTTTTTATGCCATACTGATATACCTTGTACAACAGGCTCCCTTGGTAACATTCTAGCATGCCACGCTGAAGCAATAAATTGAGGTCCTGAGCAGTTACCCTTAAGTGTATGAAACCTATGGGGACAAACAGGCAGAAGTAAAATAGGTTTTGCAAAATACCAGTTGGTGGTCAAGACTATGGATCCTATTTGGACTTGTAGATGGTGACTGATTCACTCACATGGTGGCCTCATTCTTCAAGAACCATGGCAGAGATACATTTTCCTGAGGTCTTTACCAAGTTATGTGATCCGCAAGTCAAGTTCTGTTCTCCATACTCCAGTTATGTCTTGGGAAACCACAAGAGGCAAATAAGCACACTCATTGGGATGCCTTTTCAATAGTCATAGAGCAGCAATACCAGGACGGCCATTATAAGGAGCTAGCAAGCAATTATTTAAGCATTTATCCATCACAAATGTCCTAGTTTTTTGAGGGACTTGTACTTTTAAAGGTTTATGCAAATGGTCAGATTTTTTGTCATGTGCAATTCAGAGGAATAGGCCACTGGCATTCTACTGTTTTCAGTGGAGTTCTTTCTTGCATTAGCACACGCAGAAAAAATAAATGGTTTACATTTGGATTAAATGGCAAGCCTGTACTACCACAGCCACCCCAGGAGATCCACCTGCTTGGTTTACTTTTCAGAAACTCTAAAGGTTTGATCAGGCTTTGACTACTTTGCTTTCATACTCAAAACGAGCAATATGCTTTGGCTGTAAAAGGGATTGGTTCATATGTAAAGCAAAACTCTACTTTCATATGCTGAAATTCAAATAATATAATTACAATGTTCACTTTATTTTTTAATGTTTAGGGCAGTGATGATTCTTCCCAGAAAAAGAGTGCAGCTGCTATTTCACAACCTCTAGAAGTCAAAGAAACTGAGCCAATCTCTACTGAGAGTCCAGGTATTTCACAGTGCTGCAACCTATGACTGTTTTTTAAAATGTATGTCAAGGCAAAAAAAAATGTATCTCTGCAGTACATGAACATCCCCTATGTTTTATTCCTTTAAACATACTACTAGTACAGGAAAATACTTGTTAATGTGCCAGAAATAAAGCAAGCTCCTTCCATCCTCTGACTGTGCAACACAGCTCTGAATTCCTAAGCATGTGGTGTCAGCCCTGCCTACTTCATTATTGATAGATTACAAAAAACACAAACTTCTCCTCATCTCTTCCACCACCTCCATAAACTATCCTTGTGCACATCAGCTCAGTAGAATTCTTGCTAAATCAACAGGTATTTTTTGCGCTTCTGGTCTGCCAAATACACTATTTTAAAGTGCTTTATTGTATTGGTTTGATAAGGGAGCAAATAAAAGAAGTTCATTATGAGGGTTTGCGTACAGTTTAAGAATGGAAGCAATAATCAAATGACTATTACTCATAAAAATTGTTTAAGGGTCTGTGTTGACAGACTTTGGGCTTGTGTTGATAGTAACTGACCTGTATCAAGTGGGTTTTTCTTTCCCATGGACTTGTATGGGGGTGCAAGCCTACCTGTCACAAACAAAAGCCCATTGACACAGGCCCTACTTCCATTTGTATTCTGTAATCAGATGTAATTTTTTTTTTGCACATTACTAGCTGTAAGCAGCAGACAGTCTGCTCTAGAGTGCTGATATTCGCAATGTGCTTATACGTAGTGACCTAGTACAAGGGGCTCTTAGTTGCTGACTGAAGGTCTAATAAGGAATAATGGTGCTTCCCTACTAAGTGGTAGAAATTCTTGCATCATAATACCTGCTCCATTTAAACTTGCTGTTGCTGTGGTAAGGAGCACAAGGACATGGAAAGTTACCGGTTTCCCAAAAAAGCTAAATATTCTGGGTTAAGTCAAAAAAATGCTAGCTGTCTGGTGCAATGCTCCGGTAGAGAGAGAAGTACACTGACCATTGTTCTTAAACCTTATTTTCTTTCTTTCTCTCAGTTGTTGAGGAAAGACTACCAGAATCTGGGAAAAATGCACAATCTGCACCATCGCAAAATCCGGATGAGCCACCATGGTTCTCCCTAGCAAAGAAGAAGGCAAAAGCATGGAGTAAGATGCCTCAGATCGTGCAGTAGTATCGCGTGCGTCTCCCGTCAGGAATGATTTTGTATGTTCGTTTTTGATTCCGGTTTTAACTGTGAACATATTTCAGCCAATGATTACGAGTTAAATGTGTTTTTTGTTTGTTGTTTTTTTTCCACTTCTGTAAATTGCTTTTGTAATAAGGACCACAGTGTTCCTTATTTTATAAAACCGTGCGTATTGTATATCTGTGCTTTATGACTTCCAAAAAAACTTTGTATCTCATTCTTGGTAAATAATTTGTGATTGAAGGCTGCACTAAGACGATACACTTAAAACTACAAGTCTACTATTATTATTATTTGAAGGGTAACGGCAAACAATACTGTAGTAACAGGAACGGCAGAATGATTTATGAATTGGTGTATATAACACCTTTTTTTAAAGAGAAATTTTGCTGTAGTAAACAAATATGACATATGAAAGGCCAATGGATGGTTCAGACATTAATGTACTGAAAATATACGTTTTGATTGGATGAAATCTTTAAAATAGCTCCAGTTATAAAGTTTTTCTTTAAATGAAATTTTTTTTTATTGTATGTATTTTTTTTTTTTGGATAGTGTTTATCAAGAATTGTGACGTGTGTTCCATTTTGGAAAAACAAGGTCACTGACAGTATTGGTTGCCTAAATGAGGGGGGAAACTAGATTTAGAAAACCTGGTCATAACAAAGGTGGAGGTGTTCACCACCAGAATAACTGCTGTTAGTCCTTTTTATAGAATCCTGTCAGACTGTGAGACTTTAATGGCTTTCATGTGTGTATATCACTTAATTAAGGAGCAGATTTAAATGTATCATTAATATTATTAGTACCTAAAATAAAATATAAAGCAACACATTTAATTTAAACTCCACAAATATCTCCCTCTGCTGTATAGCGAATAGGTACTTTGTGCCACAAAGGTAAAAGGTAAGGTAAAAGCTGTTGCTCTAGCATGATTCAGAACAGGAATTAAAAGGCCTCATTTCAGTATGTGAAACTAGAATTTGGTTAGATGTTGCTTAACTGCTCACCTAGAATCGCATATCTACAGATTTTGCATCCTATGGTATTACACTGAGTCTTCAAAATCAGCTGGCCTTCATATATAAGGTCATGTCCTTTTATTTACTGCTATCCTCTGAATAGGCAAATCTAAGACTGCAGAAATATAGCTCACTGTAGTCCATGGTTTCAGGAGTGGTCACTCTAAATCCCTCCACTACCCCACCTACACTGAAACCTAAGGAGGTTGCACAGCAGGGAGTTGCATGACAAGAGGCTGCAAACCCCCTTAGAAGCATACTGTATTTGGTTGAATGCCTGGTAAATTGACAGTAAACTCAGGAGTTAAATCTTAATGTATTCAAGTACCTTTCAACTATTAATAAAAATGAATTTCATTTGTGCATAACTCGGCTCCAATTCAGAGATGATTTGAGAATCTACAGCTGACACTGTCCTTCCTTCTGGAGTGAGCTTGGCATATGTGGCTACTTTCCAACACACACAGGGACCATGGGAAACAAAAGTAGCCACCCTCCAGAAGAAAGGGTAGTGTCTGCACCAATTCAGAGATGATTTGAGGATCTACAGCCAAATGATGCACAAATAAGCTATATTTTTGTTAACCGGGTACTTGAATGTATTTTTAAGATTCAACGCCTGAGTTTAGTGTCACTTTAAGTTGACTTAAAAAAAATTCAATGTAGTACCAATGTTTTGTAAAAATAGTGCCTGCTTACTGAGCGTTTTTACTTTGCGTTCTTTGGGGCCGCTTCATGCATGCAGATCAAGCAGTTAAAAAGGTTAATTATTACAGTTTTAGCTAAAACAAGAAAAATATCCCAAAGAAGTTATTTTCATCTTGACAACACTGACAGAATATTTCTTGCATATTATGTGTTTACAGGTTGATGATGGGTTTACTTTTGTATGTTGAATACATTTTTACACTGTGGGAATATTACATATTGTAAATTAAGAGCAAAGGAAACATGAAGGTGCCCCCTCTCCCAACCAATAAGATTCTGTGAATTTTCTACACAAGGAATATTTGCTTTAACAATACGCTGCAGGGTACATTGCTCTGTTGCATTCTGTTTGTCTTTATGGTCCATAATTCATGCTCACAAATCACATTATCTAATGTGCACAGTTTTTACAGGGTTATTCAATGATCAGTGAGTTTCTAGTGACCCCGAAGCTAAATGTGTTAGGCCAGGCTTTTCTTCTCAAGGACCTAACTGCAGGGCTCGCTTGAATGTTTGTTTCAAACTCCTTGGCCTATACAATATTGCCTTCAACCTCTTTGGCCTATACAATATTGCCTTCTTCAAATACTCTAACAAAGAGTGGTCCTCTGTGACATCAGGTATACAAATCAGAGGCAGTTAGATTGCTTTCAGTCCATGCATCTAAAATGACAAGCACCTGCTCTGTCAAGGTGTAAGAAGGAAGCATTTTTAAGGTGGACAGTGGTGGTAGTTGGACCTATGTGGGTTAAGGTGCCCATACACTCTACAACCCTTGCAAGACTTTCGTCTTGCGAGGGTTGTAAAGTAATTTAAAAAAAACGTACAATCTGCCCATCTTGGACAGGCAGATCGTACTTGCGATCATTGCAAGCCCGCCCCCCTGAGGGGCGGACTTCCGATGACTGCAATGCTGAATGGGTAGTGTGCACACACTGCCCGTTCGGCAGTGATCTCTCGATCATGTTAAAAACCAGCTGAAAATCATATAATTCTCGGCTGGTTTTCCAACATGCTTGATATACAAAAGTTGTGTGACCGTATATGAGAAACGGTCGCACGCCTTCCATACACTGCACGATTCTCGTACGATCGTGGGATTTCCCGTGATTCTCGTACGAGAATCGTGCAGTGTATAGGCACCTTAAGCCTTAAGGTATATAAAAAGTTAGCCATCAACTAACTTGACCTTCTTTAAGCTTCTAATAAATTACATTACAGTATTTAGTAAATCAAATGTATTTTATTTTCTAATGAAGCACAGATACGTTTATCTAAACCTCAAGCAGGTTTTCAAAATAGTATTCACTGTATTTAAGTTCTGTTTTAAATTGTAGAAGCCATGTACCTGTTTAGTAAATAATTTGTATACTTGTACACTGAGCAGTTGCAATCACGTGTGTACATTTACCAGTGTTGATATGAACTATGCACTTTTTAAACCATATAATAATTTTCTTGTTCAAAATTTCATTGACATTTTAGAGAGGAGGACATTTATGTCTGTGTGTATGTGTACATGTATATATAAACTGCTTTATATTGATCTGTTCTTTTTTCCTACAGTGTGGTTTTCATGCATGGTCTGTATATACAGTATGTACCAAGCTTACACTGTATTTTCTTTTATTTGTCTTGTATTCGAATTTGTAATCCTCTCCTATTTTTGAAAATACTTTTTGTATGACCATTAGTCCACAAGTGTTTATTAAATGCTGAACTTTCTTATTTATGCTGTTTGTTTATCTTTCATAACTAATTAAATATATACCTAAGATTTATTATTATTTTTATTCATTTTGGTCTGTTTTGGTAACAGAGTAAAAAAAGGTATTTTTCTTCAGATCTAGTAAGAAGGGTGGCCATACAAATACTTGTTGGTAATGGACTCTTGTAGCTGATGCCATAATACAAGCTTATCTCAACCCCTTAGGCCTTGTAAGCTGGATAATCATTTAATTTAAAGACTGACCACTCTACTCTTAATTTCTATTGTTGTCCAAGATTCCTATTGGAGATATTTCACCTCACTTCCTGTCTCTGACAGCAGGATAAGAAATGAGGGGAGCGGTTCTCACTGGGACAGGAAGACGCAGCAGGGTTAAAAGGTTGTTCTCACTGGCGGAACTACCAGGGTCGCAGCGGTCGCACTTGCGACCGGGAGCTGGTGTTCCGCCAGTTTGGGGAGGCCCAGAGAGAAGAGGATGGCACGCAAGATGGCCGCTGCGGCTCTGATCACACCTGTCAGTGCTCCCTCTCTTCCCGGCCGCTGCAGCTTCAGAGCGGCCAGGAGGAGAGAGAGGGAGCACTGACAGGTGTGATCAGAGCCGCCTCTCTGAGCAGAGGAGCGGCAGGTAAGTAATCGCCCCCTAGGTGCACCGAAATGAAAATGTAAAAACTGAAACGAAACCAAAATGAAAAATAAAATGTCAGGCCGAAACCGAAATTATTTTTTTTTCTAACCTGTTCCAATTTTTCCAAAACAATTTTTTTTTTTATAAACTTTTTTTTAAAATTTAATATTTTAATTTTTTTACTTTACTGTTGGGAGCTTCGGGGAGATAGCAGGGGTCTAAATAGACCCCTGATATTTCCCTTTTAAAATAGAAAAAGAGATTGAGGACACAGAGCCGTCAATCTCTTTTTTTCTGTATCCCCTGTTGTCAATGAACTGGAATCCTCTGAGTGTTCCTGTTCATTCATAACATGAGGACATTGTGTGTTTACTATATCCACAATTGTGAATGGACAGGAGGGGATGTAGATCACTTCCCATTCATTCATAATTGAGGATATAGTAACCATACCATATCCTTAATTATCTACAAACACTCAGCGATCACTGATCTCTGACTGCTTGTGGTGTAGGGAGGAGAGCTCAGCCTCCTGTAACAGCGCTGTCTCCGCCCCCACACCGCTCTCCTAGAGGGGAGATGTGGGGGAGAGTGGGAACTATTCGTAGTCCTCTGTAGTTGATGTACTCGGTCTAGAAAAAATGGTATCGGTGGATCTCTACTCTCAAAAATTAATAAAATGCTTTAAAGTGTTATTAAACCCTCAGGTGTTGTTGCATATATGTACGGCTACCAAGCAGTAGATATATGCAAAAACTTCTTTTTTTAAACCCTTTCAAACCGGTTTGAAAAAAAAGTATCAAAATCATGTTTTGTTTTTTTGGGGCCTTTAATGGTTTCTTGCACCGGAGCCCTGAGGTTTCTAGTTACGCCTCTGGTAGTTCTCTTTCCAAGGGAACATTTACTTAGTGAATGAGGTGAAAATTCGGTTGCAAAGTGAACCGCAAATTTGCCTTTAGTAAATCCACGCCTTGATGCTTAACCTTCCCACAATATTTAAAGGAGAACTATGGGGTCAGGGCTTTTCCCCATAGTTCTCCTTAGGGTAACGGGAGGACACAAACCAGCATCCTCCAGTTACCCTAAGCTCAGTATACCGCGAGCTACAGAGAGGTGAGCGAACGCAGGTATATGTTCGC